ATGGATGGATGGATGGATGGATGGATGGATGGATGGATGGATGGATGTTTCAAAAAGAGTTTCTCTCACAAGAAACGCAATGGAAAGTTTTATAACAAAAACATAGAAAGTTTGTTGCTTTATAAAATGTGTTTTTAAAATAATTGATCAAATGTTTTGTTAGGCTTAAACACATTTTGTTGTATAATTGTTGAAATATATATATTTTTAAAAATCATAAAATCTTGAATATTTTCCTGTTGAGTTGTTGAGTTTTTAATTGAAAAAGGTTACATCGCATTTTAGATAATAAAAATGGAAGAAAAAATAAACTCAAGTGTCATGGCCTTGAAGTTCTGAGTACTTCAGATTTATAAAGTGCTGAGTTTGATCTTTAGTTAAACCCAGACGGTGCAGACGGTGCAGCCGGTCACGTGTGTTCAGAAAGTCTTACCTCTGGCAGCCCACGCACAGCACCACGATGAGGATGGTAACAACGAAGGCCGAGGCAGCAGCGATGACGCCCAGCAGCAGGACCTTGCCGTAGGGAGGAGCCGTGAAGTTCAGCCCGTCCTGCATGGAGGCCATGTGGGAGCGCTGCCGCTCACTCGCTCACGCTCACACCCTTACACTCATGCACGCCGGGAAGGGCCACTGTCCACTGGATCTGCAGCACAGAGGGGGCTTCATTACACAACGATCAACTCTTCAGCAAACAATAAGGAGGCGGACGAAGCACCAGAACCATGAGTGGAAACACTGATAGAACTCAACAGCCTCTAACGTCCACAGTGAGGTCACATGACCTAGAGTGAAGAGGTCCCTGAACAAAACACTGGTTAACTTTTGGAGCCATTTTGGTTCAGCTTTGTCTGACCAGGGACCAGAAATGTTGAAGACCTGAGCTTCAGACCTGATCAGTCCACTGCTCCCCATCTCTCTGGCTACTTTTATCTTTTCCCCACATTTTTTTCATTTAGCCTTTATTTATCCAGGTAGTCTCATTGAGCCACGAGAACTCATTTTCAAGACAGACCAGTTTAGGGAGCAGATGGGGGTTAAGGGCCTTGCTCATGGGCCCAGAGTGGGGCGAATGAGGATGGGGGCAGGTGTGGGTGCTTCACCTACCCCACCCACATTTTTGATGTTGTCGGTACCGGGGCTTGAACCGACGATCTTCCGATCACAAGCCCACCTTCTCTAACCTCTGCTCCACATAAAGGCCAATAATTCCCCTCCCTTCAAAATATCTTAAGAGTTCCCATCCATCCATCATCCATCCATCCATCCATCCATCCATCCATCCATCCAGCAAATCTTTTTTTAATATTTGCCACAATAAATAAAAAAATAAGTGAGCAAACTAGCAAATGGTTATAAATGAGCAATTATTAAATGTTATCACATGTTCAGATATTTATCCAGCCATCTGTCGTAATCTACCGTCAGGAGTGTTGAACCCAAATGCAGGAGGACGACAGGAGGCTCGTGGACAAACAACCATTCACTCTCACTCACACCTAGAGACAATTTTAGTTACCAATCAGTCTAACATGCATGTTTTTGGTCTGTGGAAGGAAACCAGAGTACCCAGAGAAAACCCACACATGCACGGAGAGAACATGCAAACTCTACCCAGAAAGGTCCAGGCCAGAATTTGAACTAGCAACCATCTCACTGAGAGGCAACAGCTTTACCAACTGAGCCACCATGCTGCTATTTTCATAAATCAAATAGTAAAATGAAACTCAGTAGATTTGACAAAATAAATAAAGTACCATCAGTTGTGATTGCCGGCCTTCATATTTTTTATGAAATAAATAAATAAATTTTAGCATGACAGTGCATATTACAAAACGGGAAGTGTAACTTTCACGGGTGAGGTGTTTTTATTTTTGGTTGTTTTGTTTTTCATGGTAAATAATTTGAGTAAACTGGTATTTATGAAAAACAACATTTACACAGCAGAAATAATGAGCCTAACAACAGACTTTCGTTAGAAAACACAATCCAGCTGTAAAACAAATTGCCAAATCTTTCATGCGAGTTCGCTCACTGATGACGGAGCAGCTGAAAGAAACTTTGTTCATGTTGAATTTGAGTTGTTTGTCCACACAAAATTTTGGGAGGCATTAGAACCTTTTCTAGTGCTACTAGTGCTTATAGTGTACTTTTAATTAACGTTTTTCTTAGTTCATATCTTAGATCTTATTACTGTTTTTCTTTTACATTTTATACTTTGTTGGATGTAACTGGGACCCTGTGTACACAATTTAGTTCCACCTCATGCGCCACATGTTGTGCAAATAACAATAAAGAACCCTTGAATCCTTGGATCCTGTTCATGTAGACAGGAGACACATAGCTTTTCAGAAACATTTATGTAGCAGCCTGTTTTAAAACTGCCCATGATACATGTGTGAACAAGAAACTAGAACAACGATGGAGCAGTTTGACCATTTTTATTCCTGCGTCCCTTTAGATTCAACCTGTCACCTTTAAGCTTCGTGTGCTGAAATGATGAAACTATGAACAGAATGAAAGGAAACAAGCAGGACACCAATGTCCACTGTAGCAACATTCGAGCCCCAAAATATCCGATCCGACCCGGTCCCAGCCCGCAGCCATCATTTCTGAACCCCACCTGGCCCGACGAATTAACAATTATTACAGGTCCGAACCCGAACCCCACCCACCCCCCGACATTTTTAATAAAGCTTTGACTGCTTATAAACTTATTAACAGTCGGCGGATGTGTGCGGCTGAATAAAGGGGGCAGAAGATCGGAGCTGAGGGGGGGTTTGTCTTTTCATGGCCATCAAAGTACATTAAGTGCTTCTGTCTGCATTCTGCATTAGTCAGACACAGACCCTGATCTGACATGTCTGCTTTGGGATCTCACCTGTTAGGGTCATCGGCTGCTTGCATCCATTGAGTGCAGCGGCTGAAGGAATGTCCATTTGGGCTTTGATGGCTCGCTGCCTGGCAGTTCAGTCCCGTGTGAAGCTTAACTGAACTTTATTTTACATCTTTCAAGACCAGTCAACTCAGCTCGCGGTGAAATGGCCATGTGAGGTTGGTGACAGTATGGCAAGTCATGTTGCCATATAATTGGATCGTCAGCTGTGTGTGTCCGTTGACGCAATTAAAAGCGCAACATCGATCCGACCCACCCATCCAGCACATCATTAGGACCCGGCCCGACCCGAATTTGGGCCGGGCTGGGCTTTGGGCCCTGTTTAGAAATGACAGCTCCATGCAAGAAGATTTACTAAACAGTGAATGTTTGTAGTTCTTCAGATGAGTGTTTTTCTGGACTGAAACTGAACAGGGGATGAAAGTAAACCTAAATGTTTTTGGTGTGAGATATTCAAGTTGGTAGGAGTTACACTGTGGAGAAGAACAGAGGCAGTTTTTTTTTTTGTTTGTTTGTTTGTTCGAGGCTACGCAAAGTGACTGATCCTGGAGAGTGGAGGGAGCAATTTTATCCACCGCCATGTGCAATGGTGGAGCCAGGGGGTGGCCAGTGGTGGCCATGGCCACCATAGAGTAATCTTTGGCCACCCCAGTCATTTGAAGAAACTATACTTTTAAGCAATACAAAAACTAGAAACCATAATTTCCTCTAATAACTGGGGTGACCAGTTTATTTGAAGGTTTTGGTTGCTCATAGGTCAGTGCTGTGGTCTTGTAATCCTGAGATTGTGGGTTGGAAACCAGGTTGCATCTTGTGGGTCTTCTCCGAGTGACCCTGTTTCTTCCCATGGTCCAAAGTCTTGTTTATCGCAGACAAAATTGAGCTTTTGTGTGAGCGTGTGCGGTTGTGTGTCTCTGTGTGGTTCTGTGATGGACGAGTGAGGCATCCTCAACCACTGTCTGATGGACAGAGCTGGACAGGATTAAACTGGTACAGAAAATGAATGCATGTGAGTGAGAACGAAGCAACTGAAGAGAGAAAGAACAAAAGAAAACTAAAATAGAAATTCAAAAATAACATCTGTCTGCTTCTGATGAGAGACTAAAATTAGCCTCATTTAAAAATAAGAGACAAACAGCAGCTGTAGGAAACAACATTTATAGACGATGGACACAGTTTTAGGGAAAAAAGCGCGAACCTTTTCACTTTTGATACGCTCACCAAACAACGCATTTTATTCCCATCAAAACAAACACGTGCTCCTTGAAACAGTGAGGAAAAAACATCTGAACACCTTATATGGGACAATAATCAGCCACTTTCTCTTGTCGAAATATGGTCATCTAAAGCTCGAGAAGAGCCAGGACAAACTGAACGTTTAACTCAATGTTTAAAACATTTAGAAACATTTAGAAACAAAGAAAGTGATGGGATTCAGGTGGAATGCTTCCTCCAACATTTCTTGTGATTTCTACAGCCTGGACTGATGGAGCAGTCTGACAAAACATACATCTACATCCCAGATGTTGGCGTTTTCTAAATAAAATAATCTATCCCTGCTGCTGACCTCAAGTCGGGATGTCATGGGTCGGTGGGCAGAATACTTTGAAGACCTCCTCAATCCCATTGGCACGTCTTCCACTGAGGAAGCGGAGACTGGGGACTCTGGGTCGGGCCCTCCAATCTCTGGTGCTGAGGTCACCGAGGTGGTTAAAAAGCTCCTCGGTGGCAGGGCCCCAGGGGTGGATGAGATTCGCCCGGAGTTCCTTAAGGCTCTGAATGTTGTAGGGTTGTGTTGGCTTAGGCGACTCTGCAATATTGCGTGGACATTGGGGGAAGTTCCCCTGGATTGGCAGACAGGGGTGGTGGTCCCCCTATTCAGAAAGGGGGACTGTAGAGTGTGTTCCAACTACAGGGGGATCACGCTCTTAAGCCTCCCTGGTAAGGTCTATTCGGGGGTTCTGGAGAGGAGGGTCCATCTGATAGTTGAACCTTGAATTCAGGAAGAGCAGTGCGGTTTTTGTCCTGGTCGTGGAACACTGGACCAGCTCTACACTCTCAGCAGGGTCCTGGAGGGTGCGTGGGAGTTTGCCCAACCGGTCTACAAAGTACATGTGCTTTGTGGACTTAGAGAAGGCATTTGACTGCATCCCTTGGGGAACCCTGTGGGGGGTACTCTGGGAGTATGGGGTACAGGGCCCTTTGATATGGGCTGTTAGGTCCCTGTATGACCGGTGTCAGAGCCTGGTCTGCATTGCCGGCAGTAAGTTGGGCTTGTTCCCGGTGAGAGTTGGACTCCGCCAAGGTTGCCTTTTGTCACAGATTCTGTTCATAACTTTTATGGACAGAATTTCTAGGCGCAGCCAAGGTGTTGAGGGGATCTGTTTTGGTGGCCTTAGGATTGCATCTCTGCTTTTTGCAGATGATGTGGTCCTATTGGCTTCATCAGATCGTGATCTACAGCTTTCGCTGGAGCGGTTCGCAGCCGAGTGCGACACGGCCAGGATGAAGATCAGTTCCTCCAAATCCGAGGCCATGGTCTTGAGTCGGAAAAGGGTAGAGTGCCCTCTCTGAGTCAGGGAGGAGGTCCTGCCCCATATGGAGGAGTTCAAGTATCTTGGGGTCTTGTTCAGGAATGAGGGAAAAATGGAGCGTGAGATCGATAGGCGGATAGGTGCAGTGTATGCAGTGAAGCGGGCACTGTACAGGTCTGTCGTGGTGAAGAGAGAGCTGAGTCAAAAGGCGAAGCT